GCCCGCCGCGCATAAAAGTGAAAGAAAACATTACATTAGTATTCGCGGAGTTACATGTCTGCCTCCAAAGATTTTCGCCGTTGGGCATCTTGATTGTCACTGATTTTACGTCTCAATTTAATCTCATCAGTCCAGGAGTTCACCCCCCACACCCAGTGCATCATCCAGAATATTTTCGAGGGTGAGTGCGTGACTAAAGCCCTGTAAAACTCTTATTCTTCCCTCCAACAAGTACAGGGGCTTTCGTGTGGGAGTGTACCGAGACAAAAATACGACAAAAAAAAAGAAAACCAAGGGATTTCGTCACAGAACGAATCAACTATTCACTTGTTTATCTTTTTTCCATGGGGTGTGAGGTTGAGGTGTCACAAAATTATCAAGTTACCCTGGTATTTAATGATTTATCACCACTAAATTCGCCGTGAATTGTCAACAATCGAGGGGAGAGACATATGCACGGGTTTGTGGGAGTCACCAAGCAAATGGCCAGACTCTCCTTTATTTTCTTTAGTTTATTATTCGTCGTCTCAAGGTAACTCGACGTAAATTCCCTCCAAGGCTGAATTTTTTTGACTCGAAACTTTTCCCTCACGTCCAGACAGTATTCACTCGTTATCGGAGTACCTAAGGCACTGAATGATCGGTTTATTTTCGGGGACAACGTCATTAAGTTGGAGTGGATAAATAGAATTTTAATCGTGCATTTGGGGAATTGACAGGTAACGATTGTTATTACTGGGCATGAAGATGAAGATACCGACTGGAGGCTCTGGTAATGGTTATTATGGACACGAGAGTGGAGTCATTTCGTATCTGGATAATGTGGAGACCGAACCGGACATTCCCGGGGGGGAGAATGGGGATTTCTCGGAGTACATGTGGATGGAGAATGAAGAGGAGTTTGATAAACAGGTGAATATTAGTTTATTAATGGCATATTCGTGAGTGGTGGAGTTTTTGGGGGACTTTTTGGTTGTATTTCTGGGAGGAATGATGCGATTTGAATTAATCTGGGCTCATTTTGAAGATGGTAAATATATCTTGAGAATGAGACCAATTTTTTTCATTTTCACTCTGCCAATCTTGAGATATTTAGAATTGTAGCGACTCACATTTTCCTGTTGAGTTTCTTATTTATATTTTTGATTGCTTTGTTTGTTCACCTGCTGCTCTGGGGGGAATGAAGCGATTTGGATTAATTTGAACTTGTTGTGAAGCTGATAAAGTTGCCTGGAGAATGAGATCAATTTTTTTTAATTTCACTCTGCCAATCTGGAGATATTTAGAATTGCAGACGATTTTATTCAATTTTTTGGGGATTTGAGGGGCAAAGAAATTTTTGGCTGAACTTTTTTTGTAGAGGAATGTGAGGACCACAAAAAATTTCATTATGAAGCGTTCAATATGCTCATGAAAGAGTGAATTATTTTGCTTTACCAATTTCATATTTATTCTTCAGATTTTCATATTTATTATTTTAGCTTTGCTATCTTTTTATTGCAACATGATTGATCTGCTAACTTTGAATATTTTTTTAAGGTCCTGGAGCAACTTGAAGAAGAGGAACTGATGGAGGAGTGTCTAGAGGCGATGCTGGAGGAGGAGCAACAGCACCAGAGAAACCAAACGTCAGTGGCCTGGTGTAATGCTGTTGCCGGGGAAAATAGTGGGAATGAATTGTGCCAGCAACTGGGGAGCCTCAGGGTGCACGGAGAGCTTGCTAAATCTGTGAGTTCAATAATTCTTCCCCATGTAATACTAATAATACAATTCTAAAACCAACGAAGCAGCAGAAATGAAGAGAATCAGAGAACTGTGATGATTTAATTTTGATTATTTTCTAGATATCTCGAAAACCGTCAGTTTTAGGGAAAAAAGTCATAATATCTTTTGTTCAGCCCACAAAATTTCCCACAAGAATGGTCATATAACATTTTCTCCTACATCTCTTCATTCTGAAGATATTCACAAATTTGTATGAGTATATTTTCGTGTTGTCTGAAGGAAGGAAAAATTGACATAATTTTTTAAATTATTTATTTCAGAGTACATTAAATCCAAATGCAGCTGAGTTCGTCCCCTCGTTCAAAACCTCAGTAAGTACGTCATCGGAAATAACCAGTGATTCGTCGTAGAAGGACCGCTCATCAATAAAAATAATTAATTGCAAAAGAGAGTAATGAACGAGTCTCGTTAGAGACTGGTAATTTACTTGGGTTCAAAAACCCTCTCATCGAGTAAAAAACTGACTGAAAAATGAAAAAAAAAATTAACAAAAACCAAAAAAAAGGACAAAAAATATGGATAGAGCCATTGCAGTAAACTGTTTCCGAAGCCTGTTTTCTCTTTTTACTTTAATCAGTGGGAAGAAGATACCTCTTATTGGCAATCAACAATCTTTCCTAGGCAATTCGCACTAACGCTTGCCGCATTATTATCCCATAGATCAGTCTCCTCTGTAAGAATCAAAGTAACAAAATGAAATAACAAAAAAAACAATAAAAATGTTGAAACGACAAAAAAAAACAAAATGGGTAGAATACTATGAAAATGTACTTAACGCCAGTAGTTGTCAATCAAAAAGAAGAATAATCATGAAAAATAGGGCTCACGTGCACGAGTTCTTGGGGAGCTATTGAAATTTCCTTGCATTAAATTTCAAAATCTCTTCGCTAACTATTTTACCTCTGGAGTTTAGAATATTTTAAACCTTTTTATTCGTACGAAAGCTCTTGAAGTCCTGGCTGGGCTGTGAATGGTGGAGAACGGTGATTTACCAATTTTTAAATGACACTTTTACATGATTCTCAATAAATTTTTATTAGTTACAAAACACTTTTGAGGATTGAATTTATTCGTTAGTCGTTTCTGGGGGCTGGAGATTTTTCCAGTGCTTTTGTAATTAATACAATTTTTTGTTACGGTTTTAATGGGATATTTTATTTTTCTTGATTCAATTTGGTTCTTGGAATTTTATGTTGCCTGTTTCCGGTCTTCCAGTTTGTACTTTACGAGTTACCCGAGTGCTTTGAGTTTTAATTCATTGAATTTTTAGTGAAGTCAGTGTGCTGTGAAGAGCAAGATTCGTGTTTAATATTTCTGTGGGACGTGATTTCAGGAAACGGTTCATATCGACTTGGCACTCAGCTGAGTTTTTGAGGAATATCTCCGAATCTAAGGGAGATACCGAAATTTTTGTAATGATGTTTTTTGTAGGGCGAATTGAGGGCTATAAAAAAAGTTATGACAAAAATTTAGCTGTCTTCCTTAGATTTCAAGGTATTTAATGAAAACAGACCAACAGTAAAAATCAACGTAAATCATTTTACCGGTTTGCTACGGATTTGTTTTACAGAAAATAAAAATTCCTGTGGACAGAAATGTGGATAGAAATGTTTTATACGTATTGACCTGCTTCAGTTATCGTTATTTTATCGTTATCCATTCTATTACTGCGGCAATAGCCCCGAAAGTAATGAGTATCCATTGAGAATCAATATTGAAAATTTATTGAGAACTTGTCATACGATATGACGATTATATTCCTCTGTCATAATTTTAAAAAAATGAAAACTTGGAATTTTCAATTGCAAAAATGAAGGTGCATGCTAATAGTAATAAAAACTTGAAGTGAAGAAGAAATAAAAAATAATAAAACTAGGGTACTGCAAAAAAAGACTAAAAACCATTGATGTCTCAATTAAAGATACCACAGAATTTTGTTATGGGAAGAGAGATTCTAGAAATATTCAATTATTGTTTTTACAGCTAAAGTCACAATTACATTGCACATTTTAAAATGACGTCTCAACGAAGACAAGTTAGTCACTCGCTGAGGACATTTGTACGCGGCCTGCCTCGATTCTAGGAAATAAAATGTACAAAAAAGATGAAATCAAATTCTGTAGGATAAATAATGAAGTAAAGAAATTTCTCGCATGTTGTAAGGGACGATGAAATCTAAGTGATAGAAATCATTGCGACTACGTTAAGTAATTACATTATTATCAGCATTTGTGAATTTGTCACTTCATTTTCTTTTATAAATAGCATTTAACATATAGTATAGGAATAAAAAAAATATCTATGAAATACAAACGATATGATTTTCTTTTCAAGACATTTATTCCACGCCAATTCCCTAATTGATTTGAAATTAACTTCATGATGACTCGATTTTGAGATGAAGAACATCATTTACATTTATTTCATTTTCATTTAATTATGAACACTATTTATTTCCCTCTGGATAACTCACTTCTTTCGTAATTCCATAATCATGAAAAATTCCTGTCAAGTTGTCTAGCAAAACGCAATAAACTAAATATCTCACTTTTCATATTTTCTGCAATTTGATAGAAAAACCTGGCGCTTTCTTTATAAAATTCAGCAAATTATTGCAAATTATTATTAAAAATTGTTTAGATAAAAACATATTTAAATTGCTTAATTGTTGATCGTGAGAAGAAAAAACGTAGTATTCCTAAATTTTTTTAACTCAAATTATTCTTCACTTCCCAAATTTTAATTTTTTCATATTTATTATGTACAAAAATGATCAATTCTTGCTTCTCAGATTTTCATCCATAAATTCTAAANCTAAATTTTTTTAACTCAAATTATTCTTCACTTCCCAAATTTTAATTTTTTCATATTTATCATGTACAAAAATGATCAATTCTTGCTTCTCAGATTTTCATCCATAAATTCTAAACTCAAAAATTCATAAAAATTCTTCTGTTTCCCAAATAATTCGAGGAAAATCTTTGAAGATCCACGGTCATCTGGAGAACTGAAACTTTCCGGAGAATTCAATTCAATTTTTTCAGTTATCTAGGAAATCAACTCATAACCCTCTCCTCACTATTCAACAATCACAGATTTTAATCACATTATTCTAAAAGTAAAAAAAAAGAATTACCCGAAGATGAAAAACTATCCATTGATGTTTCGCTCTTCATTCTCTTAACTCTCTTCAACCCATTATCAATATTTACAAAACATCTATAAGTAGGGGAGGTTGGGGTAAAACGGACACTTTTGACTTTTTTAAAAATTTTAATGAGGGGTTGAAATGTTGATAAAATTTAATATTTTTTTTTCTCAATGCAAAGAGCAATTCTTTCCCTTTGTGGCGAGCCTAAACTGAGCTCAATTGATAAATTTGTTTCTGAGTTATGAATAATTTAAAAAAAGTCTAAATTGTCCATTTTACCCCACCCACCCCTATACCGTTTCGCCACTTCACTACTGAATTCTAGAAATTATTTGACCAAGTCATACTACTTCAGTTAGACTAAAAAATCGAAATAATCACATAAAACTTGTCCCTTGCTGTTGTAAACTCACCGTATACCCCACTGTCGACGTCTCCATTTCGAAAAATCTTCGGTGAAGAACTCCAAAAAATGAACTTTAAAAAATTCGACTTCTTCATTTTCCCACCGAGCAGAAAAGCGCGCGCACAGTCCTAGACCCATTCAAAAATCATAACCCCCTCCCAGATCCCTGCCTTACCAACGCCCCCCGCCATTTTTGTTTGTGCAGTGCCAATGTTTTGTTTGTGTTCTACCGCCTTCCGCCAGCATCCAAACAAAGAGTCCCCGTCAAAAAGTCCACCGAGACGCCTGATCGTCCGCAAACCCCGGAGTCACCGCCCGAGCAATGGCCTCAGTCCAGGACAGTGAGTACCCGCAGCCCAAAGCCCGCAGCCCCAAGCCCCGACTTCGAGGTTATCCCCCACGTTCTAACCCCATCTCCCAGCCCCACAAACCCCGACAAACCCCCACCCCAACTAATCCACCAAACCTCTGCTCCCCAGGACTGAAATTGAAACGAGAGTCCTGCGACACGTGGAGCACACGTGAGCAGTTGTGCCTGGCGTCAAGTGTTCTAAAATCAGGGGACCAAAACTGGATATCAGTGTCGAGGTCCCTGCGACCGTTCGCCGAGAAGGAGGCCCTGCGCCCCCCGGACTGGTTCTCCCAAAAGTCCTGTGCAATTCAGTACGCAATTCTCCTGGAGAACGCAGACACCCCAAAGCGAAAGAAACGAGAGAGTGGAGAGACAACGAGCGAGTCGATAGTTCGTCGACTGACGCAGGAGAGGATAACAGAGCTGGGCCAGATTCTGGCCTTCCAGAGGGACGAGTACCAGCAGCTGAAGCAAGACGTGAACCTCCTTCGGTCAGGGAACATCTCAGATGAAAAGCTCCAGAAGATGTGGCAGGCAATCGAGCAGGAGGAGAGGGAGGCAGAGCAGAAGGCGAGAGCGCACACTGCGTGGCTGGCAAAACGTCAGCAGAAGAGCGAGTCGACTCAGGGCTCGTCCAGGAAGGCCCTGGAGGGCCCCGCAGAGGCCCCAGAGCTCCAGGAGCTGCAGCCAGAGACCGACGAGGAGCGAAAGAGCCGAGGGGGACGCTCTCCGCTGCTGACGAGCCTCTTAAAATCCCCCAGCCCCACTACCCAGATGCAGAGCGCCCCCTCGACAGCCCAGGCCACGTCCCCAACGATCGCGAGCCTCCTGGGAGGGAACCCAAAGCCCTCAGCCCCCCAGATCTCCACGTCAGCTGCCCCCCAGATCTCAACGTCAGCTGCCCCCCAGCTCCACCACTTCATCACCTCGACCCTGGCCCCCTCAGTACCTGAAAGACCCTCCGCTGGGGCACCCACACTCTCTATGCTCCTGGAGCTACCCTCCAATCTACCCAGGGGGAACATTTCCAATCTTCAGGGGCAGAACTCAGGCCCTCAGAACTCGCTGACAGACCCTGGGAGAACAAAAGTCACCAATCACGTGGCGAGTCCTGTCCCAACGGCTATTCCAGTGGACGAGAACATGGTCCAGATCATCGATCACATTGACGATGTCATTGGCAAGGACAAGCTGCCTGAGGTGTGTAATGATTTTTCATGTTTTAGCATCTCGAGAATAACTCTCGACAAAATAAAGGGTGGGAAATTAATTGTAGATTCGTACAAATAATGATTAGATCCGATCAATTAGCCCCTCATGTATAGATATTCCAAATTTTTATTTTTTTCCTCATTGAATCGCAATTTTCTTCGAAACTATTTCAATGAGGAAAAAAATAAAAATTTGGAATATCTATACATGAGGGGCTAATTGATCGGATTTTAATGACTAGCAAGATCGCCAAAATCACAATGAGAGAAACAAAGTTTAATTTGCCTGAAGACGAGGACAATTTCATCATGACAAGAGAGCCATTTCTCATGTCAAGTAAAATTGAAGGAATTCATTTAGTGGCTTTTTAGCCTCAACTCTAAAATATTTTAATGCAAAACCGCTTGAATTGATTTGACAAAATTTCTTGGCTTTTCTCGCATCTCGCAATCTACGAGAAATACGTAAAATTGATAATAGACAAAAATTATTAAATTCTAGATGATTCATGATTTGAATATTTTCGTCTGTACTTCATAGTTTTGGTGCTGCGACGATGTGAACAATTTAATTGTTAGTAATAAATAGTTCCAATGCCTAAAATTAATCGGAAATTGTCTACTTGACGTTAATAGATCATATCTTTAAAAATGTAACTGACAGATTGAAATGGTGACGAAATTTAATAATTTTCTTTCACTGCAAAGAAAAATTCTTGCCCTTTGTGATGGGCCTAAACTGAGCTCCATTGATAAATTTGTTTCTGAGTTATGAGTAATTTTAAAAAAGACCAAAGTGTCCATTTTACCCCACCCACCCCTAAGGCAAAACGGAACCCCTGCGTTTATATGAATCTTTAGAATTGTGTGTTCCCCTGCAATTATTATTTTTTATTCATTAAACTACTTCATTGACTGAACCATGCGATAATCGAGTCGATAACGTAATTTCACAGATATAAATTAACAATTGTAGGAGAAAACACAATTCTAAGATTTGATGTAGACAAAGGGGTTCCGTCACGAAAAAGAACCTTTCCCCCCCCCCTCGCCCCTCCTCAAATCAGTTTACCACTTGGCTACTGAATTTCATTATAAATTCCTACAGGTGATTGATAAGGACGAGATCAATGAGATTATCGGGGACATTGAGGAGCTGATTAAGGAGGAGATAACCAAGAGCCCTGGGGATGGCCCTGGGATTATCGAGGCGATTCCTGAGCCCGTGGGGGAGTGCAAGGCCGAGGGAGAGAGGGAGGTGGCGGTTTCCTCGGGGTCTCCTCGGAGTGAGGTGGTTGGGGAGATTGAGCAGAGTGGTGCCAGCATTGCTGAGATCATTGGGACCACTGTTGAGGAGGAGAAGGTGGCCGAGGTTGTGGAGAAGACTGGGGAGGAGGGGATGGAGGTGGAGGAGGTTGAGAAAAGTGATGAGAGGGATGAGAAGGTCGAGGAGGCTGCGGAGAGGGTTGAGAAGGGCGAGGAGAATAATGAGCCTGAGGAGGGGGGGCGGCAGGAGGGGAGGAAAGATGAGGAGCCCCCAGTGGCTGATCCTCAGGGGGAGGGGGAGGAAAAGGGGGAGGGGGAGGAAAAGGTGGAGGAGGAGGAGAAGAATGATGAGGAGGAGGAGAAGAGCGCTGAGGAGGCAGACGAGGAGCCTGAGGAGAGTAAGAAGCCTGAGGAGGACAAGACAGGGGAGGAAGAGAAGGAGGAGAAAGAGGAGAAAGAAGAGAAAGACGAGTGTGATGAGTCGGAGGAGAAGAGAGAGCCGACTGAGGAGAATGAAGAGCACCCGAATGAGCCTGAGGAGGAGGGAGAGGAGAAATCTGGGTCTAGGGAGGAAGCCCCTCGGGAGTCTGAGGAGAAACCTGATTCGGTGGAGGAGAGCCAAGAGGAGAAGTCTGAGAGGTCTGAGAGGCCTGAGGCTCAGGACGCTGGGGAAGATACCCCGGGGGCCAACGAGCCTGAGCAAAATGAAAAGTCCCCCGATGCTGAAGAACCGAAGGAGTCGGAGGAGCCCAAGGAGACTCGGGAGGATTGCAAGTCCCCAGACGAGAAGACACGGGATCTTAAGGAGGATGAGTCGAAGGAGTCCGGGGAGCAGTCGCCGAAGACTGATGTGGACGAGGAGCTGGAGGCGCCAGTGCTGCCGAGTGAGCTTGAGGAGCTGCCTCTGGACAAAAGGGAGAAGGAGGAGGACGAGGAGGTGGAGGAGGAGGAGGAGGAGGAGAAGGAGAAGGTGGAGGAGGAGGCGAAGCCTGAGGTGAAGGTCGAGGGGCAGGAGGAGGAGGAGAAGGCGGAGGCTGGGGATCCTGGAAAGGAGGAGCCGATGGAGAAGGCAGACAGGCCAGAGGTCGATGGGAAACCTGAGAAGGAGCCTAAGGGGGAGGACGAGGTTAAGAAGGAAGAGGGGGACGTCAAGAAGGAGGAGACGAGTGCTGCTGACGACACAGACGTCGAGGAAGAGGAGTCCTCGCTGGCGAAGCTGCCAGCTGGGAGGACCATGAAGACTTACTCCAAGAAGCAGAATGTCGTGGTCGACAGCGAACCTGAGACTGAGACCAGCGATACTGCTGAGTACAAAATTTGGAAGAAGTCGATACTGCTGCATTACAGCCGTCTGGCCACTCACAAGTATGCCTCGCTGTTCCTCAGGCCCATCACTGAGGATCAGGCGCCTGGGTATCACTCGGTTGTGTTCAGGCCCATGGATCTGTCCACTATTAAGAAGAATATCGATAATGGAACTCTCAGGACTAATATGCAGTTCCAGAGGGATGTTATGCTCATGTTTCAGAACGCTATTATGTATAATAAGTCGGATAGCTTTGTTTATAAGATGGCGGTTTCTATGCAGGAGGAGTGTCTTCAGAGCATGCAGGTAAATTTGGCGTTTAGTTTTTCATCCTCCGGATTTTTTGGATTTTCAATCATTGAATTCTTCAATATTAAGGGAACTTGAGCTTTATGTTGATTGAAGTTTGCATATAATCATCGAAATTTAAAAATAGTAAAATGATTGGTAATCCAAATTTTCGATTGAAAATTAATTAAATAATTGATGTACGGAATTGACAATTGTCTGTTGAGTAAATAATACCTAATTTCGTAAAAATGATTTTCGATTAACCAAATAAGGGTCAATCTTCCTAAGTAGATTATTGATTGATAGAATAATTCGGAATATAAATATTTAATTGATGATTAATTTAGTGATTTAAAATTGTAGAGTAATATTAACGAATTGACTAGTTCAAAATTTAACGGTAATTATAATTTGTGATTATGAGTATCTCGGGCCATTTGAGGAAGAATGGAATTCTTTTGAAAGGAAATGTCAGGAGTTTCGAGAAATTTCGAATGAAAAATTGGTTCTGGTGGTTTTTTTTTCAGGAATTACTCGTTACAGAAATTATTTAATAGTTGAAAAGATGAGAAATGTCGAAGGATCAATAGTTATTCGATGAGAGTTGTTTTGTAATTGTGTTTTAAGGGGAAACATTGCATTGTAATGAATCGAAATTTTAAGGAAGAGTTGAATTAATGAATTTAACTCTGCTCTGACAGATTCTGGTCGAAGCAACTGGTGAGGGGGCCTTCAGACGAGAGACTAGAACTGCAGCAAGCAGTAGCTGTGAGACCAGTGACAGCAGCATAATAAAACGCAAACGAAGCCTAGTGACTCCAAGCCCCCTCGACACTGAGACTCCAAGAATGAAGAAACGAAGAAAATCGGAGAACGATTAGATTAAGAAACTTTGAAGCCCAAGCTCATTGTACAGATTCATTCGATTCATCTAGATGACGAGACAACTCGCCTCTCCATTATTTTCTATTGTTTTTTTATTTGAAAATGGCGGACACTGAGTGACGCATTTAGTTATGGTAATAACCGTAAAATTATCAAGTTTTCAGTTTTCTTTTTGTATAAAAAAAACAGTTAGATTGTAAAAAGAGGTATTTATTGAGGGGATTTGACGATGAACCGTGGATGGGGAGACTCGCAAGGATTTATTGCTGAGGACGAGGGAAATTACGGTTCTGCTCAGGGACAGAGGAGTCCCCCCGAGTATTCTGTGAGATTTCACGTTGAGTCAATTCAATAAAAATTATTTCATCGAAAGAACAAACTTCATTGCCAAAGACTGATGCAATTATTTTTATTTATACTTTCATTTTCAACGATATTCTTTGCCATCTCATGGAGAACTCACAGGGGAAGTGAAGTATTTACATTTCGTGTACATAACAATTGATATTAAGGGTGAAGAGGGGACTTTCAGGGACCTCGGGAGCAAACAAAACTATCAAAATATGGGGAAAACTTTGCAGCATGAATTCTCAGTCAAAAGGGGACGAAAAAATTTGAAAGATGGCTTGAAAAATTTGTCCAATTTGTAGAAATTGAATGAAGTGAATTGATGGGGGTCTGAAGAGAGTAGACAATTTTAAGAAATGTTTGAAAATACTCGGTGGGACACCGCCCTCGTTAAAGAACCTTGCGGCAGAGGGAGGGGACATTCAAGCAAGATGGCGGTGTCTGCGAACATCGACCACCTCGCATTTTTGAACATTTCTTAAAATTATTTATGCTCTCCAGAGCACCTTCAACTCGATCCTTCTAGTTCCTAAAAAAGAGAACAAATTTTTCAAGCCATCTTTCAAATTTTTTTGTAGCCTTTTCGCTGAGATTTCATGGTGCAATTTTTTTTAACCTGTTCAGTAGTATTTCTCTCATCATGGAGAAGTAAAAAAGTGGAGTATTTACATTTTATGGCTGTAATAAGTGATATTAAGCGAAAAGAAGTGGATTTAAATTTCGTATTTACCAAGTGAAGATGGATAAAGTGAAGATGAATTTTCAATTATTTTGTAATTATTCGATTGGAAGGGTTGTTCTCAATCGAAAATACGCGACGAGGGGGATCTGCAGTTCTGGGCTGAGGACGAGTTGAGCTCCATCGAGTCCAATTCCCGACTGAAAAAACGCAAAAGAAGGCACTCGGTCTCGTATCGAAACCAAAAGTACAGGAGTCGATCGCGAGCCCCTCAATCCTCTAGCTCCAGTGGCAAATCGTCATGCACGAGGACCAGGCGGAGGAGAAAGAGGAGGAGAGCGAACACTGAGGACACCCCCACGAATTCTAAACCCCCGAAACCCAGTATTCCCGCTCGAGGGAAAATCTCGGTGAAGAATCCTCTGAAGAAATTCAGACTCAAGTTCCAAAGGAAATGATTCAATATCGATCAATGAAAGATGAGAATTAAAGTAGTGAAAGGGACGCATGAGTTGATTTTTTATTTTTAGATTTCATTCGTGAAGAGTTTTAGTTCAGAATGAAGATGACTTTTTTAAAAATAATTCTGAATTTCAGAAGATGATTTTTTATGAGAATTATTTCGAAACGAAATTGACATGTTATAAAAAAATATATTATATTGTAAAAAAAATTATGTTGTGTCATTGCAGAGAGTAATATTTTCAAAAAAAATTCATTCTCATTTTCTTTGAGAAAACATTACCCTAGGCAATAGCATAATGTATTTTTTGAAGAATATACTGTTTTTTAATAACAATATTTTCATTCGGAATTGAACTTGTAATATTGTACAATATTCCTGTAATATGCAGTGTAAAATATTAAAAGACTCGACTAATATCGCATTCGGTATCAAAAAATTTCATTAACGAACTCGAATACCCGATAGAATTCTATTGGATTTTCATTGAATTTCTGTTAAAAATTTGTTTCGGCCGATTGTCCAACAGAAATTATTTTACCGAAAAAATCACTAGAATTTAATTTTTCCATTGAGACATTTTCTATAAAATTCCTTGAAACAAATTTCCCACGTTGGCTCCACTCTATTGTTCTTCTCTTTTTTCATTCAAAAAATGAATAAAAAACTAAAAATTTGACTCGAGGAATTTCTCTAGGATATATCAATAAATCAAGTTGTACAAAAAATCTATCAACTGTTTTTTCTATAGAATATTTTCCATTGAACATTTCTATTGAAAAAACGCGCAAATAAATTGCGGAATTTTTCAATATAATCAACCAAAAACTAATGAAAAATTCAGTAAAAATCTAATAGAATTTTCTAGTGCGTGAATTTTTTTCAAGCTCGCGTTCGTTCCTAGTGCATTAAAAAAGGACCTAAACATATTTTTTAAAAGTTTTCATGAAAAATTCATCTACCCCTATTCTCCAAAACTTAATCCATCCAAAAATTAATTGGCCTCGATCATGTCGCCACTGAACTGTTTATCCTTAATTGAAACAATTAATAAAGCACGGACAAGATAACTGTGACATTCACTCTGTTATTTTTCCTCTCCACTATCACAAATTTATCAGCAATCTGAGCGTGTGCGTCGTTTGAGTGTCGCGCTGTTTTGTTTCTATCGTTTTCACTTCCTTCTCTCTCTCCATCCTCATTCTGCGTCTATGTGTGCGCCGGGGAAGAGCGAGAGCGACCATCCTCCTCCAGATTGACACATCTCCGTCGATTTAAACTGTCAGAATCATGTCTTACTTCGAGACGAAGTTTTGGCCGAGGAATCAGTACCAGAACATGGAGGAACCCAATGGTGAGATTCAAATGATTGGTTTTATTTTCTTGAAATTGCGGGGCGATTGAGGCGCATAACAATTTTTGTCATTCCGGCCGTGAGGCAGCGCTTCACGGACGCTCCGCTCCGCGTCCGTGAATCTCTGCCTACGGCCGTCATAACAAAAAATACTGTTCGTCATACGGCCAAAAAAAACTTTTCTAGCTCATAAGATTGCAAACTCATATTCGCCAGAAAAGTTTCTTTCGGCCTAGTGACGAAATATACTATTTCGGAGCGTGGAGAGATCGTCGGAGCGTCCGTCGGCATTTGCGCGGGCGATTTTAAGGACATGAGCTGTGTCACAGGACCTGCAATGCTATTTTTCCTGGAACAGTTGGATTTTTTTTTTCCAAAAAAATTGCATGGCAATTTTGCACGTGTATTGCCTATGAATTCCCATATATGATGAACATCCCGGCGATATGTGTTATATACATACGAATTTAATATTCGATCATCACGTATGAAAAAAAACCTATAGGATTTTTTATAGCAATTAATATAGTAGATTATATTATATGAATTTATTTTATTGTTTTCTTTCCCATTGTTCTTGAGCGTCCGTCGGCATTTGCGCGGGCGATTTTGAGGACGAGCTGTGTCACAGGACCTGCAATGCTATTTTTCCTGGAACAGTTGGATTTTTTTTTTCCAAAAAAATTGCATGGCAATTTTGCACGTGTATTGCCTATGAATTCCCATATATGATGAACATTCCGGCGATATTTGTTATATACATACGAATTTAATATTCGATCATCACGTATGAAAAAAAACCTATAGGATTTTTTATAGCAATTAATATAGTAGATTATGTTATATGAATTTATTTTATTGTTTTCTTTCCCACTGTTCATGAGCGTCCGTCGGCATTTGCGCGGGCGATTTTGAGGACGAGCTGTGTCGCAGGACCTGCAATGCTATTTTTCCTGGAACAGTTGGATTTTTTTTATTCCAAAAAAATTGCATGGCAATTTTGCACGTGTATTGCCTATAAATTCCCATATATGATCAACATTCCGGCGATATGTGTTATATACATACGAATTTAATATTCGATCATCACGTATGAAAAAAAACCTATAGGATTTTTTATAGCAATTAATATAGTAGATTATGTTATATGAATTTATTTTATTGTTTTCTTTCCCATTGTTCTTTGTGGTTAGATTAAATTAAATTTATTGGATTCTATTCCCATTGTAGTACACAAATTGTGGGAAGTTTTTCTCATTTTCAAATGAAGAGATAGTTATGTTAAATAATCTCAGTATAATATAATAATTCCTCTCAACGAAATCACATANAAAACCTATAGGATTTTTTATAGCAATTAATATAGTAGATTATATTATATCAATTTATTTTATTGTTTTCTTTCCCATTGTTCTTTGTGGTTAGATTAAATTAAATTTATTGGATTCTATTCCCATTGTAGTACACAAATTGTGGGAAGTTTTTCTCATTTGCAAATGAAGAGATAGTTATGTTAAATAATCTCAGTATAATATAATAATTCCTCTCAACGAAATCACATAATGAAAATGAAATTTTTCGTTTTCATGATCTGATTTCATTGAGAGGAAATGAGAAAAATGTAGGGAGATATGATCAGCAAGAAAATAAAAGAAAACGATTTTTTATTTTTCCGAAAAATTTCAAAACTGATTTTTTTTTAATTACGAAAAAATATCAATATGTTCCCTTTCTATGATCGAATTTCAATGGAAAAAAGTGAAAAAAAAGAACAGAGATACGTGATCAGCGAGAAAATAAAAATTTCGATTTTTCAATGTCTCCGGAAAGTTTTAGAATTAATATACTTTTTCAAATAATGAAAGAATACCCATCAATTCAATTTCTACCCTCACATTCTGATAGAATACATAAAAAATAGCAAAGAATAAAAATCGGAGATGAAAAATTTCATCGGATTAATATAATGCTATAGGGATGTAGGATTTCCTATAGGATTCCTAAATAGAACTTTAACTTCAAGAAAAAACAGAACTTTAGAATATCCTATAGGAAATCCTATTTGAAAAATTCTACAGAAAGTGTTCGAATTCTCCATAGGATTTTTTCATGCGATATAATGACATTTGTGTTGCATATATCATCGCATAATAGCACTGTTCATAATACATATATTTATATATATAGAAAATCGGCGAAAAATGCTGTATAGCACTTATACGTAGAATATATCAGTAGCGAAGCGGTAAACCGGGTTAAGTCGATTTTTACTATTGGCTAGTTTTTGCCGAATATCTCGGAATCTAAAAGAGATAGAAAGATTTTTGTCACGACCTTTTTTGTAGAGCCAGTAGAGCGTTATAAAAAAAGTAATGAGAAAAATTTTGCTATCTCTCTTAGATTCCGAGATATTCAGCAAAAACTGGCTAATAGTCAAAATCGACTTGACTCGGTTTACCGCTTCACTACTGATATGTCTTGTTTAATATTTGGGTCGAAGTGCTTGAAAACCCTCAATCCGTCATCCATCCCCTTCCAGGAAACATCTGCAGATCAATATGCAAATCAATAATCGCCGGTTTCTTCATGGCCCTCTTCGTCATGTCCGTCTGGAACGTGAGTTTCCATCGCTCAGGGAAGAGCTACGTGGTCCTCCTAGACGCCTCCAGCCAAATGGTCCACAGGACCTCCCCGCGGTTCCTCTCATTCGGGCTCGACTCCTCTCTCCTCAGGGACATGAAGAATTTTCCGATCAACGACGAGAGATTCGTGAACCTGGCTCGACACCTGAGCCCCGCCTTCGTGAGGATCGGCGGGACCTCCGCCGACTGTCTCTTCTTCAATGAAACTGTCGTTGAGAGCCCGGAGATCAGGAGAAATCCAGTCGACGGGGGGGACATCAGTAATTTCACGCTGACCGACACTGATTACTTGGCGATCTACGATTTCACGAGGAAAGCAGGATTGAGAATGATGTTTGATATCAATGTGCTCATTAGAACTTCTGATAATCACTGGGATGACTCGAATGCTAAGAAAATCATAGCTTTTTCCAAGGGACATGAGATGGAAATCGATTGGCAACTTGGGAATGGTAACAATATTTCATGAAACAGAATGGAAAATCTAGCCAATTCGATAGACAATTCTATTGAATTTCTATTGAACTTTAGATTAGTTTTTGGCCGATTGTATTAAAATGCTCAATAGGAAATATTCTGTAGAAATTCCTTCACTCAAATTTTCCAAGTTTTTTCGTTTCATTTTTTAAATGAAAAAATTAACAATGAGGTGAAAAAAGAAGAAAACAAAGAAAGAAAAATTGTCGAGAAAGATGAAATTCAACTGAAGTCTTCGGTAAAATAATTTATAGTGGATATTGTCCATAAAAAAAGTCTGTAATAAAGCCGCAGAATTCTTCAATAGAATCGGCCAAAGAGTAGTAGAATTTTGAATGGAAGTTCGGTAGAAATCCAAAGGAATTAATGAAATAAAATCAAAATAAAATGAATATTAAGATACAAATCCTAAAAAATAAAAAAAATCGAAATGGAAATCTTATTGAATTCACTAGGTTTGTTCATGAACGATGAAAATCAAATTACAGACACCAGACACTAACAATTATTCACCTCCTTCCTCTCCAGAACCAAATTCGTTCAAGCTTGTTTTTGATCGTGCGGTGCCCGCAGCGCAACTAGGAAAGGATTATTTCCACCTGAGGACCCTCCTCAATGCCCTGGGATACGAGTCCAGCATCCTAGTAGGACCCGAGGCGAATCACATCGGAGATCCCGATGACAAAGGGGTGAATTATGCCGCAGAGTTTCTCGAAAATGAGGGACACAGCGTGGAGTTTGCTACCTGGCATCAGTATTATCTGAACGGTCGTGAGGCCACAGCCATGGACTTCATCAATCCAGCAGTCTTCAATCGTCTTCCTGCTGAGATCAGCTCGTTCCAGCGGGCCATCAACAGCTCAGGGAGGGATGTCAAAATGTGGCTGTGTAAGTCTTTCAGGCGCATCTGATATTTCCATTCACGCACGCAGAAATTTCATTGAAAAACCTAACGAATGCGATAGAAAATTCTGAGTTTTTGGATGATTTCCAAAATTGGTGCGTTTTTATAGGAAATGTACAATAGAAACTATTTTTTTTTTTACAGAAAACAGTAGAATTTCATTTTTCTGTTGAAACATTTTCTATAGGAATTTCTCGACACGAATTTTCCAAGTTTTTTCCACTTTATTTTTCTTCTCTTTTCATTCAAAAAATCAAACAAAGATTTGAAAAATTGAAAGCAAGGAATTTCGGTAGAAAATATCTCAATCAAATTCGATTCTTTTTTTTACTTGAACACCTCAGGAATTTTTCAATCGAATTCCCGAAAAATTAATAGAAATCCAATAGAATTTTCTGCGCTGGGTTTTTCTATGAAATTTCCCAACCGATTTCTTCAGCAGAAACGAGTTCTGCGTATGGAGGAGGGGCTCCTGAGTTGTCTGACAGATACGTGGCAGGATTTTTGTGGCTGGATAAACTCGGCTACTCAGCTAGTGCAGGAGTGAACGTCGTAGTTCGACAATCGCTCTTCGGTGGGTATTACGCGATGGTGGGCCACGATCTGGTCCCGAATCCCGACTGGTGGGTCAGCGTGCTCTTCAAGACACTAGTCTCGGAGAGGGTCCTGCACCTGGAGAGCGCCAACAACAGTGGGACCTTGAGGTTCTACGCCCACTGCACCCCCGAGGCCTCCCTCATAAGTGGAGTGCCTGCTGTTACGATTTACGGAGTCAATTTGGATGTTCACAGAGCTCAAGTCTTCATCCAAGGCAGCTGGATGAGGAAAAATGCCAAAGTACTGCTGTACATTCTTACCGGGGAGTTTTTAAAGTCGAGGTGAATATTCTTTAGCATTTTAGTTCGTTCAATGAACTTTGGGAATTCCATTTGGATTCTAATTACTCACTTGACTCTGTTTTCTGATAATTTTTCTTCTCATATCTTCATGGAGATAATTAAATATTCAACAGAAAAGGAAGTTCAAACAATTTCTTCCAACATTTCGGCCTTCGTTAACTTATAAAAATAATAAAATCTTTGATAAGATGTAAAAGATTGACTTCTTATATCAATTTTTCACAGAGTAATTCTGAAAATATCGCCAAAATCACTTAGAAACAGATTCTAAATATCAAATAATTTTATTGCAGCTGCGAAAATCTCCAACTCAATTGTGTTTTGATTTTTTTTCTCAATCTTTCTTGAAACAATTCAATCCTCGACAAGACTAAATTAACATCTTTAATTTCAATTTCATGCCTTTAATCTTATAAATGTCAAGAGATCTTTGTTTATTATTCTTCAGATGCTGTAGAGACAAGTCCTCTAAGAAATCAGAAGCGAAGTGGTCAAACGGTTTACGTCGATTTTGGCTATTGGCCAGTTTTCAATGAATATCTCAAAATCTAAGGAAGATAGCAAAATTTTTCTCACAACCCTTTTAGTAGCACTCAATTCGCTCTACAAAAAGGTTTGTTTGAGATTGATGCTAAAAATTTAGGCCGATTGGAGAAAAGTGATTTGGAAAAGGTGTGAAAATTAAGAACACGTGATTTACTAAAAACCCATTGGTGATGTATTTTATTTGTGGTGTAAACCACGAGTCTAGAAATTTTTTAAGGGTACACTGTTCGCTGAATTGTCTCAATTTAAATTCGATAATAGTCTCTACACTGCACTTGATAATTCTCCTGATAATTCACTTGATTACAGTCTCAAAATGATTGATAATCGACTCGAAATTAATAGATGATTGGCTCAGTATCTCACGGTGATGTACTCGATAGAGTGATTGCGACAATACTGACTGTACAGAGATTGAGACGATACGATACTGAACCCGAAGGGTCCCGAGGTCGTTCGAGGATTTTCGTTGAACCCGGTGCCATTAGATAGGAAACTATTGCCGAGTTTTAAACAAGGTTATTATGGAAATTTCGCAATCTCCCTCAAATTCGAAAATATTTCTGGAAAACTCAACTAAAGACTAAATGGACTCAAACCGTTTGACCACTTCGCTACTGAAATTGTTCTCAACTTCTCGATTCCAAAGACATTTATCAATTTCCATTTATCAACTTATCAGTGTATCTGAGAAAATCTATATTTTTTGCAGTGAAATAAGACTGAATGGAGACATCCTGAAGCTGAAGCCCGACGGATCTCTCCCCCCCTTCACGCCAGTGATAATAGACCCCTCACAAATAATAACTCTCCCTCCCCTCTCAATGGCATTCATCGTCGCCCATGGTGCAGATATACGTGCGTGCATGCCATAACAATACCAACAAATCCTCTCAATCCGTTTATTTCAGTAACACTTTTATTTTCAATGACATCTCTCCACAATCGTGATGAAATTCCTAGTTACCGGACAGATGGAGCACTCCCCATCATAATTAATATTGTAATTCCCTCATCGATTCATGATACACTTAAAGCTATATACGTCTCTTCAACGATGTGTTAACCTGTTTATAACTGACATTTACTCCATCGGACACAAGTATTACATCTCTCGTGGATCAATTTTTTGAGCGAAAAAAATCTTCAATTAAAAAAAAAATATATGGAATGAATGTGCGTTCGTTCTTTCACACGTACGAAGAAATTCCATGGAGAAACCCAGTGAATTCGCTAGAAAATTTTATTGGATTTATCAATGGAAAATATTCTACAGAAGAGATCAATAGAATTCGATTTTTCTGTACAACACAACAGTCTATTGAGATATTTTCTCCAGAAATTCCTCTGCTCAATTTTCCCAAGTTTTTTGTTTCATTCTTTCAATGAAAGTTGATGAAAAATAGAGTGGAAAAAACTTGGAAAATGTCGAAAAATTCCTGCAGAAAATGTTTGAAAATTCAATAGAATTTCCCATCAAATCCACTGAGTTTATCAGTGAAATATTTCTCGTGCGATATTCATCCTTAAATAAAAATCACACCGAAGGAATGACTAACTGTAAGTATTGTTTCTTTATGATAAATACTGAGAACAATCAACAGGCCTCGAAATATACAAGACTTATATGTATATTTACATGAAAATTATATATTCTTTATGAACAAATTTAATCATTAAATAAAATTCCTCACTCTTGGGCTGACACAGTAATGGTCTTGCCCTTTGAATCATCGAATCTGTCCATGGTGCGAATGTCCAGGATCATGGATATCCCCCAGATCATGATCATAGCCAGGATGAAGGTGACGAATATTCCGGACCAAATGGGGATTGACGTGAAGCCAACGCAGTCGTACGAGTCCTCAGTGAAGTTACTGGCGTCCATTTGAATCTGGAGATTTGTGAAATTCAGGGATATCTTTTCGGTGTCGTTGGTGAAGTGAATGGTGGGGCTGCAGTGGAAGGAGAATCCCTTGGGGAAGACTATCTCGGTTTTGCTTCGTAAGCCAATTGTCGACTTGTTCTCGTGAACAAACTCAATTCTACTCATGTACCAGTAGCCAGCGACTTTTTCGGTCAGTTGGAATATCAGATTTGTCTGCACTGATTCGTCTTGGAACACTGTGTTTATGAGAACTGGCTCTCCTTTGGTATTGTTGCCAGTTGTTTCTACTGTTGTGGGGCGACCCAGAGTTATTAGCTTTCCATCTTCTCCCTGGAATTGGAGAAATATTGATAAATTATTCAGGAATGGGTAATTTTTTAGCAACAACTGCATTTTTTGAACTCTGAAAGTTGGGAATTTGAATTCATTTTGAGGTAGAATTCCTTGAAATTTCCTATTCATTTGAAAAGTTCAATAAAATTGAGTTTTTTATTGAGCGATTATTGATATTCTAATTTCAACTTGAATTCTCAACCTCTTTAGAAAAATTGAACATTAAATTCAATTGAATTCTCGAGAAATTAACTGATTCTTCAGTAGAAAAAACCGAAGTTTTATTTGAATATTTCGTTGTTAAAAATTTCAAGATTTATTTTTGTATTGTGGAATGAGTTCTCAGTTCACGAATTTTCGAGATATTCCAAAAATATTCTGGACAAAAAAGGAACAAAGCTAAGGAACAAGAAAAGTTGAACGTCAATATTTTAGTAATATTTGCAACAAAATCAATACTAGATCCACAACAAAGTACCGAAGCTGTGATTGAAGCTTTGTTTTTTCTTCTTTATCCGTTTACCTGTTGAAACAGGGCTTGTTGAGCATGAGCAAGCAGCCTGGACTCATTCCTTGCGATGATGAACTCGGTTTGGTTGTCAGCCTTGGCCTCAGCGGCCCTCCTGACACGCTCAGACCGACTGTAACTGCAGGAACGTCCTGTCAGAGCTGCGATCAGGTTCGGGCTCGACTCTTTTATCATGTTGAAGGTCTCGAAGACCGAGTCGAGGTCAGTGGCTTTCGTGATGATCAACTGGCCATCGGACACAGTATCGAGCTCTTCCTCGACAGATTGATTGTACGACGAGAGGTTCTCGAAGACGGACAGGGGGGATTGCACTGCTGGTAAGTACTGCAGGGAGCCTCCCTTCTTCAGCTGCATCAGATCCTATCGGACGAATTTTATAAAAATTTATGGAGGACATAAGAAAATTAACTAGTCAGAAAAATCTTGAGATTGGGAGAGGAATTTAAAAAATTAGGGGGGGAGGGGGGTAAAATGGACACTAGACTTTTTTTAAATTATTCATAACTCAGAAACAATTTCATCAATTGAGCTCAGTTTAGGCTCTAAAAAGTGTCCGTTTTACCCCAACCTCCCCTATTTCATTTTAAAGCCAATTTTTTCAGCTTAAAAATGACCGAATAATCGTCCAGAATTCTCCATTTGGCGAGCATTTACTCTCAGCCCTTCCAATCTCTTTAAAAAAATTCTGAACTCTTCTGCTTGAAGTTCAAGTGTTTGACATGCTGAAAAACCCTTGATACGTCGAACAATTATCGAACATGAACGTCTAACCTTCCTGTGCTGCACAAAGTCCTCGACACACAAATTGTCCCTCATGAAGACGAGAACAGGTGCGAGGGCATGAGCACCACCCACTTTCCTCGCAACAATTTTCTCAAAATCCTCCTGCGAAGTATTACGAAATGGATTCACTGGGCTCAAGCCTGATGCGGGTGAATCTCCACCCCAGATGAGTACAGGCACTGCATCACCACCGAGAGTCGACAGAATCGGTGCACTCGATGAGAACACAAACGCCCAGGTTATCAGAAACTGTGGGCTCCTCATTTTCTGAGGGTTTTTTGGCGAAATTTCACTGAATTGACGAACGACAGGCAGATTCACGGGTTTCGGGGGATCAGCCGAGTTCCTCACGCGCCTGACCAGCCCCGTCTGTCATATGACGTGTCACGTGACCCTCTCCCACCTCGAGGGCAAACGAAACTTCCGGTTTTCAAATGGGGTTGGGTTCAGACGGCTTTATTTTACTGGTTCATTTGGCATTTTTATCGAAGATTTTTCGAAATGGAGACGTCGACAGTGATGTATACCGTAAGTTTACAACAGCAAGGACAATTCAGAAGTGGTAAACGGAGATAAGTCGACTTATCCCCAATTGAGTTTTTGAGGAATATTTCCAAATCTAAGGGAGATGGCGAAATTTTCGTAATTACATTTGTTGTAGCACTCAATCGGCTCCACAAAAAAGATCGTAACAAAAATTTAGCTATCTCCCTTAGATTCCGAGGTATTGATTGAAAACTGGTCAATAGTCAAAATTGACTTATCTCCTTTTACTACTTCACTACTGAATTTTTATGTGATTATGTCGATTTTTGAGTCTAACTGAAATAGTATGACTTAGTCAAATAATTTTTAAAATTGTATATTTATGTTCATGTGTTATAGGGGAGGTTGGGGTAAAACGGACACTTTTGACTTTTTTTTAAATGTTTATAAGGGGTTGAAATGTTGATAAAATTTAATAATTTTTTTTCTCAATACAAAGAACAATTCGTTTCCTTTGTGACGAGCTTAAACTGAGCTCAATTGATCAATTTGTTTCTGAGTTATGAATAATTCAGTAGTGAAGCGGTAAACCGAGCTAAGTCGATTTGAACTATTAGCCAGTTTTTGCTGAATATCTCGGAATCTAAGAGAGATAGCAAAATTTTTCTCATAACTTTTTTTATAACGCTCTATTGGCTCTACAAAAAAGGTCAGGACAAAAATCTTTCTATCTCTTTTAGATTCCGAGATATTCGTCAAAAACTAGTCAATAGTAAAAATCGACTTGACCCGGTTTACCGCTTCGCTACTGAATTGAAAAAAAGTCTAGTGTCCGTTTTACCCCACTCTCTCCTATATATTTTTTTAATTTATATATTTGGATATTATAGTTATATTCAGGATTATGAAGATGGAAAAAGAATCGAGATAACGTCGAACGCAAATGCTTTGATGAAAAAATGTTGATTTCTGGGTTGTTTTTGCTTTCAGCAACTTCAGCCGTGGAGTTCGGTCAATGTGTCTCCGTGCATGGAGAAAATTTCGGGGCTTCCGGCTCCCGCGAGGGTGGGAGAGCATTACAAAACCCCGAGACCTCACCCCTGGAGACCGACGCTGGGATATGAGACTGTGGAACTCTCTCCTCTGTGAGAAAACCTCCATAGATCATAGTTATAGTTTATAGTTATATTTATTTACAGGGACTGAGAGAAAAACAAGTCTTTTTGTTCTAGCTTTTTCGATGATTTTCTTTTCGTGCGCGTCATCTTCCGTGAAATTATTCCATTTCACGAACAATTCAACACGTCATGAATATTTTTCAAAAAGTCAAGTGTCCGTTTTACCCTACCCTCCCCTACGTATTTTGCTCCCGAAAAATCTTCGTTTTATGCGAAACAAGGGATATTAGTTTTTCGTTTCGGCTGTCTAATAATCACAGACAACAAATGAACCCTTAAATGAAACAATAATAATATGATAGCAATCTTGTAACTTGGGGATAAAATATTTGTTGATAAATTTTCCTCTGTATGAGACATTTTCATCAAACATTTCGAGCCAAACATTTCGTTGCTGTCGAAAGCAGAGCAATTATTCACGTTTGAGACTGTCAAATTCGAACCAAAAAAATTATTTTTTGGCAATTTTCAACTAGCGATTTTGTTGGCGAAAACAAGACTTGTTTGACAACTTGTTTGTCTTTCTCTAGTATTTTTTTTCGTGCATAATTAAATATCTAAATTTCCCAATGAATTAATTAATCCAATGAATTTCCAGTCATTCGCAACCAATCACGAATAAGCACTCGGACCCCTGCTACACCCCCCAGGGGATGACAACAGAGCCCCTGAAATTTCCGAATCTAGTGACTGGCTTCGACAGAAATCCCTCTCACGCTGCTCGTGCCGCTCTTTACACGAGGTACACTTAGAGATGCAAAATGACCGTCATTTTTTAGATCGCGTCATATGACCAAAAAATGACGGTCATGTGACGCACAAATTTTCCAACTACAAATAATTATCACAAATCATTTGTAACCCAATTGTTGTCAAACCATCTATATAGTTGCATAATGACGGTCATAACTAATTTCCAATTTGTGACGGTCATGAATAAAACAAAATAGTTTCATCCATATGGATGGAAAAAAAACGTGATTTCCATTTCAAAATGCGGATTAGGCCAATACAAAAGGAATTCAACTGAAAATTGACCGAGAAAAAAATAAAGTTTCATCTATGTAGATGAAAAATGACTGTCATTTTTTCTTGACAAGTTGTGACGATCACAGAAGGGGGAGGGGAAATTGTGATAGCCGTCATGAACGCCTCGTCATGTGACCGTCAATGACGGTCATGTAACCGTCATTGACGGTCATATGACGGTCATGTAGCCGTCATTAACGGTCATATGACGGTCATGTAACCGTCATTAAAGGTCATATGACGGTCATGTAACCGTCATTGACGGTCACATGACGAGGCGTTCATGACGGCTATCACAATTCCCCCTCCCCCTTCTGTGACCGTCACAACTTGCCAAGAAAAAATGACAGTCATTTTTCATCTATATAGACCGTCATATGACCGTCAATGACAGTCATGTAACCGTCATGGACGGTCGTATGACCGTCATGTAACCGTCATTGATGGTCATATGACGGTCATGTAACCGTCATTAACGGTCATATGACGGTCATGTGACCGTTATTGACGGTCACATGACGAGGCGTTCATGACGGCTATCACAATTCCTCTCCCCCTTCTGTGACCGTCACAACTTGTCAAGCAAAAATGACAGTCATTTTCATCTATATAGACCGTCATATGACCGTCAATGACCGTCATATGACCGTCAATGACGGTCACATGACCGTCAATGACGGTTACATGACCGTCATATGACGGGGCATGTGACGCATTTGCATCTCTAGGTACACTCCCTGCGAGTGGAGTCAGAACCAGATCCGCCTGGGGAATGAAGTCAACGCGAATCGCCTTCATTCGGATCAACTCAGGGATTCCGCGGTGACGATCATGAGGGAGGCGGACGAGAAGGTGAGGGTGGGGCAGGACGAGGCGGGAAGAAAGCTCGGAGAGAGGATTACGGATATTAATTTCTGGGAGAGAGAGCTGTCCATGGAGTTGGAGAGGATTATCATCGAGAATGGGAAAATGCAGGAGTGCAAGAGGACCTTGCAGAAAGCCATTCACGACCTGGAGGCGCCCATTCATATCGCCCAGGAGTGCCTGTATCACAGGGAGGCGCGAAAAGGTCAAAGATGATTGATAAAAGGATTTATTAAGGGAGTAGATAATTCGGGGAATGAGATGAATTCCCGAAAATTCGATCGAAGATATCGATAGATTTTGATTTTTCTGTGAAACTCGTTGAACTGTTTTTTTATTGTTTCTTGTTTGAATTTTTTAATGCGAGAAGGATTAAATTTCGATGAAAAAAATTAAGAAATTCGTTTTAAGAAAGTCGGCGCCTTCTGTAAGAAATTCTGGTGAATTTATAGTGGAAGTCTATTGAAAAATCCTAGTTTTTAAAGTCAACTCTATTAAAAGTTATGCAACTTCTCTCCGCATGGTCAAATTTATTAGCAGTAACAAATGAAAATACAGTGGAAAATACGTGGAAGATTAACGCCCAAGAATTTCCATAGAAGCATAAAAACCTATTGGCTTTTTTTTATCGAATATCTCTCAACAAAGTGACAAATGAATTTTTTATTAGAATTCTAATAAAACTTCGAGAAAATTCTTGGAGGTTCAAGAGAAATTCAATAGCATTTTTAGAGAGAGTGCTAACTTTTTCTAATAAAACTTTTTTTTTAATCGTTATTTTACATCGCTTCGACCCGGCTAGGGTATACTGCGATGATATTTCTAATAAAACGATTTCTTTTGAGTATTTCCTTCGACTTGACGAAAAACTAGTAGAATTTTAAGTTAAGTCCTTGTAAATGCGTTAGGTTTTCCTATGAATCATCTGTTGGAAAATTGCATGATTGAACGTCACACAATTTTTTGGATAAAATTTATAGCAGAACACCAATAGAATTTCTTTAAAAACGTTGGGTTTTCTCCAATGCATGCGTATTCACGCATTGTTAAAGTCTCATTATGAGTGAAATTCGCTAAATATCGAACCGAAATATTAAGTTTATCTTACAGGAAATGAATTGGTCCACGACGAGCCAGAGCAAGCCCTCCTGAGAGAAATCGAAAATTGTCGTAATTGTCTCAAAAAATTGGAGCAATTCGTGGAGAAAACGGTGAAGCGGGTACGACCTCGAATACAAACCCTGGAACGAATTATAATTCACTCAATATTATAGTTGACAGAGGGGAGAGCGGCTCAAAATGAGCTGGAGCTGGACATAAGTAATAAAAACACAGCTCTGGGGATCGACACAATGTGCAAACAGTTGAATAACTTTAGCAATGGACTGGAGTACTACGGAGGCATCGAGAAATACGTTAACTGGTAATTAAGTATTAAAAATCATCGATGAACCAAAGAAATACGAGAGAACTTACTTGATTTTTTATTTCATAGAATTAACTGAAGACCTGCAACAAAACAGTTGTTATGGAAAATTCGCTATTTCTCTTGCATTCAGAGTTAATTTTTTATAGAAAATGTCTGAATGGAATAAGGTGCATAGAAAAATTCAATTCTATTGCTTCTTCTATTTCTATTTTTGAAAAAGCACAGATCAGCCGTGGAATTCCGATAGAATTTTCTATCGAATTCGCTAGATTTTGCTAGTTTTCGATTAATTGTGTTAGTTATGGCTGGATATGACCGCGAAATGACCCACGGAAGGAGTTTTCTTTGTTCGATTTTTCTATTATTCAATTTTTAGTACTTGAAGGAAAAAAAAAACTGCCATAAAATATCTCATATAGAGGAAAATTTATCAACAAATATTTTCTCCCAAGTTACAAGATTGCTACCATATCATTATTATTGTTTCATTTAAGGGTTCATTTCTTGTCTGATTATTAGACAGCCGAAACGAAAAACTACTATCCCTTGTTTCGCATAAAACAAAGATTTTTCGGAAGCAAAATACGTATGGGAGTATCGAATAACAAAGGAGTAGTGCTAGAAATGACATTTCTTCCGTCTACAGAGAATGCAATTTTTTTTTAACTACTAAATCTATTTTTGCGACAAAAATTTTTCATTCCGGCTCACTATCTGCATGTATCAGCATGTTTGGCACAAAAAAAATTATTTTTTGATAATTAAAAAAAAACTATTTGCTTGGCACAAGTAAGACTTGTTTGAGAACTTTGTCGTTTTTCTCTCAGTGCAGACTAAATTCTAAACATTATTATTCCCGCTGTATCCAGCCCAACAGACGCTGAATCCTGGGCCCAAGCCTCCAACGACACGGTGAAGAGATCCCAAAAATGTCGAGAATTCTCCCAGCAACTGCAGGATGAAATTGACACCACAATCAACACAGTTGCGCAGACCATCTGGGAGGCCTGGAGTAGCACCAACAACGCACTATCCAGGAGGATCACTGAGACATTGTTGGCTAAACAAAAAATCCAATGCCATTTGCATAACGTAATAATCCAGGGACTATTCAACAGAAAAACAAAAACTTGAAATTTAATTTAATTAAAAAATTTGACTTTTTTTGTTTCAGATTCAGACAGATATCTTCGGGATTGAGAAGAATGTCGAGCTGATAAAAAAGGGCATATCAGACAAATCTGCAGCTCTGAAAGTCGCTCACACCCGTTTGGAGGCCAGGAATCATCGCCCAGAGTCTGAACTCTGTTGCGATTACGCTCATCAGAGAATAGTCCAGGAGGCTGAAACCATAAAATCCCTGATCGATGTGTTGCACTCGAAATTGCAGGAGTGTGAGGCTCAGCATCAGCAGTTGTTACGCACCCGGGCTCATCTCGAGACTGACCTGAAGGCCAAAACCGATGCGATATTCATCGATCGAGAGAAGTGCATGGGAATGCGTCGAAGTTATCCGATAGTAAAAACAGTGAAGTACTGAATGTTGAGGTACATCACTGGTAAAAATTCTGATTTAAAATTTCCAATAGACCTATAAAATTCCGGTCACTTCTGAATGAAATTGCGATGGAAATGCCAAGTTTTAAAGAATTTTTTTTACAAATTTTCAACGAATTTTTTACGTTTTCTTTTGCTAACAAATATTAAAAATTTTTTTATGAAGTCTTGACGATTCAGATGAAGCATTAATGCATTTTTTCGGTCGTTGTATTCCTGTGTATAGAATTGAATATCAATATAATGTTTTCGAGTATTCATAATCAGTTTTCATCAAGAAAACAATCAAAACTCCAAAGTAATGAAATAACGCTTTAATCTCCAAGTTAAACTAAATCCATTCAATCCATAACAAAAACTATTTCTATCCAAAATTTTTCTAATAAACTACCTAAATCCTAAATCTCAGAATATTCAAAATAATTTCCGCATCTTTTGGATATAAAAACGTAATGGACAGGTTTCATTTGGCACGTTCCCTACATTTCGCATAGCTCTTAACGCCTATTATCAATATTTACATGGTTTAATGTATGTTAAATGGCCTCTTCAGTTGATGTTTCTGGTCCACTTGAATGTATCGATGGTCTCGAATACCTCATTCGTTGCTGCATCATTGTCGTAGTCATCCCTGAGGTAATATATTTTGGTTTTCTCCTGTGGATGGCACTCCAGCACGTTCCACTTCTCAAACGTTTTCACAGCATTTCTTATAGTATCTACACTTAAACTTTCCCCTGAAACGAAAACAGAGATAATATCGTAAGCCTATAATTTTCATATTCCCGAGAGACAATTCAAAAAAAAAAATCACAAATCATAAATTTAACAGCGAATTTGCCAGGTTTTTTGTGAATTTTTTCATAAATGATAAATTAACTATTATTTAGCAAGGAAAATATTATTAAATACCATTGACATTTGAATTAGAATACAATTCCTCATTTTCCAATTCAGGTTTTTCTGTGAATTTTTTTCGTAGATAACACGAACAATAAATTGAGTAGTGAAGTGGTAAACGAAGATAAGTCGACTTATCTCTGAGTTGGGTTTTTGAGGAATATTGCCGAACCTAAGGGAGATAGCGAAATTTTCGTAATTACATTTGTTCTAGCACTCAATCGGATCAACAAAAAAGGTTATACCGAAAATTTTGCTATCTCCCTTAGATTCCGAGATATTGACTGAAAACTGGTCAATACTAAAAATTGACTAATCTCCTTTTACCACTCGCTACTGAATTGAATATCATTCAGAAAAATTCAGCACTTGATGACAGCCTCAATCTATAAACAATCAACTAAAAGTCCAGCCCACTCACCATAATTAACAATACCCCTATCAAGATTAGTCTTAATCTCAGCAAAAATCTCCTGCACCAGATCCCTCTCAGTCAACGATCTCCCCACAATTTTCCTCAACGTAAAGGCACTGAACGTGTAAGTATCAATGAGTGGCCTCAGCACAGTGTGAAGAAACTCCATCCTCCTCGAGGATTCGGCTTCCAAGTTCAGTTTGTACTTGATTTTCCTGCTGGCATGGACCAAGGCAGCCTCCTCGTCAGAGCTGTCATCGAAGGTCTTGGCGAATCTCCTGCTCCACTGCTCCTCCTCGAGGAGGCCCTCCTCGCAGGGTCTGATGATCCCCGAGTGCGTCAGACCCTGAATTGCGCTGGCAATCGTGGCCTCGAGATCCTGACAGGGCTGGCAGAAGATGAACTCGTACTTGAGGATATCACAGAGCTTCAGTGCCTTCTCCATCAAACTATTATGGAATACTGTTAAGTCGTTCTCGGCGATGGCCCTCGGGTCGTTGATCTCGGTTTTAAGAGTGGCGTAGAGCGCTGAGACAACGATACTGTCCATAACGTAGTGGCAGATCACGCCGTTGCTGTAGTAAGCCAGCTCAACGACATTTGGAAGAATCGAGACTGGAGTTATGGCTGTTACGAACTCTTTTCTCGTCCCCTGGCCCTCCATCTTCCTCGTCACCTCCTGGCGCTGTTGCTTCACCAGTCCAGGCCCCAGTATCGTTAATGCGTGATTTATTATGTCTAAATTTTCACCGCAGAAGGCGAGGTCTTTGTTTGCTGCCTCCAACTCTTGTCTCAAGGAGTTGAAGACATCCACGAGCTCGTCCATTGTGCAGCCCTCTCGGTATTTGTTTAAGAGGATGAAGGACACCAGATTTGTTGACATTATGGGTGTGGCATTCGCACCGTCTGCAGGAGTTTATTAGGATTATTATTCATCTCTTCAAGGAATTGGGGGAGAGAAATTGGAAAAATTGAAGAATTTATTTTGAATAGTTTTTTCTTGTCAATTACTGGTAAAAATTGTTTCAACTTTTCAGAATCTTTTTTTTCTGGCATAAAATCTATTTTTGGAGAAATTCTGAATATAGAGAAATTTATTAAGATTTCTGGAGAGTGATTTTTAAGATGGAAAATTCGTCGTTTTTAATTTTTCGCGAAAAGAAATCGCAATCTTTAAAAATTGCAAAAAGAGTAAACTTTCTAATTGTTTCAGATGACTAAAACATTCTCCAACGGTTAAAAATAGAGAATGTAATTAAAACCTTCCAAGTTTGGTTAATAATCATTGCAAAATCCCCCTTAATTCTCAGGAAACGAATTCCATCTCTTTGAATTCAGGGACATTCCTCGAAGATTCTGTTTTCCCACTTCCCCACTAAACTAATGAAAAAAAACAAGTGGAAACTTGCTTTCATCACAACACAGTCAAAATATTTTTGCCACTAAATTAGCAATTTGCCAGTGAAAGGAATTTCTCTCTGTATTATAAAAATCCAAATCGACTTGTGGTGATAAAAATTCAGTACTCGAAATTAAGACTCCACGATTAATCGTCACAGGGGTCAAAATAAGACTCATGAGGGTCAGATTAGGGATTACGAATTAATCTAAACACTTATTCTTCCAGTTACCGTCAAAAACCAATCAATCATAATTCAAAAACAGCATATTCGAACACCTGAGGCCAAAATTGGTTACCCCAACCCAACCATTGAAAATTTCTGATTTGCCGAATACAATGCTTCCATTCCGAATTAAAAACAAAGCAAAAAGACTAAAACAAAGAAAACAAAACACGAAAAAAAAAATTAAAGAACATGTCCTACCATAAACGACATGTCTCCCCAGCGACTCCACGAGCTGCCTGTGTTCATCATCCATGACATCAGTCCCAAACAGCGAAGAAGTGGACATAGTGCTCCTGAGCACCTTCTCCCCATGTTTCCCACTGGACCCCCCCTGTTTAGCGAGCTGCAGATCAATGGACCTGACCATCTCCTTCAGTGAGAAAGGCTCACAGATATTGACCTTGACAATTCCATAATTCCCCCTGATGGTCGACCAGATGGCTCTAATGGCATTGCCAAAGGTCTCCATCTTCTTGGGCTGTCCCAGTTGTTCCCTGATGAAGTTGCCATCAGCCAGTCGTTCGTAGTTGACAGATGCTGGCACCACCAGGGCGTCCTCAATGGTCCCATCGAGATATGCCTCCACAATTATACTGAGAATGCCAGCTTTAGGCAGACAGGGCTTTCCAGTTCTCGTTCTTCCTCCCTCGATGAAGAACTCGAGATTGTGGCCAGCTCGAAGGCTCTCCATGACGTACGTCTGGAGTGTCGCACGATAGAGAATGTCCTTCTTACCGAGGACTGGATCGATCCTCCTCTTGATGTAGTACGCCCCCAAACCGTTGAGAACCCTCCCGAAGAGGGGAATCCGCAGGTTGTCCCCAGCTGCTATGAGACAGCTCTTTATGTTGTTGGTGAACGTGAAGAGGCTCACGATTATGTAGTCCAGGTGGCTCCTGTGGAGGGGGACGATGACGAGGGGCACTCCAGTGCGGTCGGCCTTCTGGAGCATCTCGATCTGCGACTGCTGCACCACCAGGGATTTTATGAAGAAGGGAAGGAGTGTGTACATCACCCAGGCCGTTATTCTCAGGAGGGTGTCACTCATTGTGCTCTCCATCAGCTTGAGAATCTGCTTTGCACGACTCTCTGCCTCGCGGAGGGCCTCTCGCTCGGACACTCCGTCCTCCTCGATCGATTTAGCCGCTGTCAGGTGAATCGCTTCTTTCAGTCTTTCGTCGTTGAGCACCTGGGGAGGGGGGAAGCGAGTCAGTGGGGAACATCCGGAATAATTATTTAGGATATCCTATCTTTTACAGTTTGGTACAGATCGTAATGTAGATTTAATCATTTTCCATCGTCAAATTTGTCAGTTGAATTGCGTAAGGAAAATTTGAAAGACATGAGGAATATCCAACCTCATTCAAACGTTTTTTATAAATAAATATTTGACATTTTTTCTTAGACATGAAAGGGATTTATGGGAAAATTCGGAATATTTTTTTCTGTCAACAGTTAGAATTTTTCTAGGGATATTTCGATGATCACGACTATGCTGTAAAAATTGTTGGGTGTAAATTTTCCAAGTTCGTTCAGCTGTATTTTTATTTGGTTCTCATAAAATCCGAGAAGAATAAACTTGGATAATTCATGCTCAAGAATTCTCAGGAAAAGTCCCAACGGAATAAGTTGTGTCTAAAGGTGAATTTCTATAGACATTTTTCTATAAGCGAATATCGATTTGAAAACTGGGAATTGTTACAGAATTCTAATAGAAATTCAATAGAGTTTCTTAAAGAAAACACTATGTTTTTCTATTAAATTTTTTCATTCGTGAAGAGCTGAAATTCTATATTTTTGGATTTTTCAGAGAATGATAAGGACGAAATAATTAGTGAAGCGGAATGATAATGAGGTAAATGCTAGATGAGTTTTATTCGACGGATTTTAAAATTACTTTGGATGTTCAACAACAATAGGGATGAGGCAGAATACTAATCTGATAATACCCTGGTTCATCTGCTCATAAATCCCACAGTAATTTCAAGGTGATACACTCATAACGCTAAAGTAATTAGCAAAACCTCGTGAAACCACATTTACATGAATGTTCAGACGAATGAACTTCTTCCCCAACTGCCCTCAAAATCACTGTGGACGGTCTGCAGAGCTTATTTAATATTTTTCAAAAAATTTCTCTTCGAAATCGCCAATAAAATCCACACATTGACAGCTTGCATAATAAAATCGTAGCAAAACATCTTGAATGGAAGCTCTAATATTCAACATTGTCGTAATTCTACATTTCCCCATCACCAGATATCTCATACATTGTTCGGGTCACCCCAGTGAATATTAAATCCTCCTCTCCACCACGGAAATCATCTCTCAGTTCATTGAAAAGTCAAGATAAGAAACTGCTGTGAATCGAAATTGAGCAGCGGAAATTTTAGTGAGGGAGATAAGCTTGGGAAAAAAATTAGTCAAAGGGTTATCGAAAATCGCACGCGCTCCCAACATCCCCCTTGCTCTCACGCCATTCACATCCACAGAATGACACATGTGAATCAGCGGAAATATTCCTGATTGCTGAAGTGATGATTGAAAATTGATTCGAAGAATATTACGCATTACTGGATTAGCGGATATTGTTGAATTTAAAATTCACTGAGATGTTTTAAATTAACAGTTATCAGAAATAATATAATTGCTTAAGGCCCGGGTGTACTATCTTTCGAATGTTATCTGGATTTTTTTATCTTTCGTAAAACAAAATTGTCAATTGAGTGGAACATCATGTAGAAATTCCCAAAAATTGGGATAGAATGATTTTAAAAAATGGAAAAAATTCAACTTTTTCAAAAAGCGTTTTTCATTGAGATTCAGAATGAGTTGAAAAAAGTGGAAATTACAAATATCTGATTCGCTGTGGCAAATTATTTATTAGCTGTCATTTTCCATGGTGGATAACAAAACACTAACTCCTCATGGGAAGTCACAGCTAGATATCTCAATTTTCAAAACAGTGGTACGTAGTCATCTGCCATTTTTATGTGATAAAAGTGTGATTAAAAAATTCTCCAAAATATTACAACTTTTTTCAAAGAGCCTTTTCCGTAATAAGTGTCTCTGTGCACTGTGGGAAAATATTTACGAAATCAGTCTTCCCCCTGCATGATATTGGATGACAGGCCGCCACTTGTCACCGTAAATCAGATGCATTTTTCAATTTCTTGTTATTCAACTTCTTCTGAATATAAATTAAAAAAGCTCTTTGAAAAAATTAAGAATTTTTTCCTCTTTTTTTTTATTATTCATTCATAATTTTTCAAAATTTCTGCATGATGCAGGACTCAATTGACAATTTCAAATGACGAAAGATGAAAAAAAACATCGAGATAACGTTCGAAAGACAGTACACCCGGGCCTTAAATTTGCTGATCTACAACGTGAACTCACAGTCTGGGTGACCCTGGGATAGTCGAACTTCTTGATGTTGTAGACGAAGGAGAAGTGTTTGAAGATCTTGGAGAAGAGAGAGGGGCCTGGATCAACCAGGAGCATGTTCCTCCCACTGGACTGCAGCTGTTTGGCCGCAATGCTCGCAAATGAGTCCTGAAAAAACATGCATCATCGAACATTGACTGATGATTCTCATGCAATAGTGGGCACTCGTCACTTCTTTTCATGCGCCACTGACAGAGTTTGTGAAAGTGAGTGAAAGCGTCGCAACTATAATGCGAGCAGAATAACAAAGAGATAATTTTCATTGACGATATATAATCCTGCATTTATTTTTTCCATATACCTCCTCATAACTGCAATTTTCATCCGTTTTCGAGAGAAACCGTGACTCTCTTCATCCATTTTTAATGCAGTCTCATCAAAATAATTAACGGTTCAATGATGTTACTTTGATGATTTCAAAGAAACCTTTCTCAACATTATATCCCATTTAAATCCAGAGATATTCATCAGTGACTCATTTGTTTTGCTACGTCACCACTGCATTAATGAAAAAGAAAAATGAAAAAAACAAGACTAAATCAGTAGTGAAGTGGTAAACCGGTATAAGTCGATTTTGACTATTGCCCAGTTTTCAATGAATATCTCAAAATCTAAGTGAAATAACAAAATTTTTGTCACAACCTTTTTTATCGAGCAAATTGAGAGCTACAAAAAAGGAAATTACAACAATTTCGCTATTTCCCTTAGATTCTGAGATATTTATTGAAAACTGGTCAATAGTCAAAATCGACTTATACCGGTTTACCACTTCGCTACTGAAATATAAAGAAAATTGTAAGAAAACGTATTAAATTCGTAGGACAGTTAGACATCAAAGTAGGACAAATGTCCTACTCTACTGCGAACACAATAACAAAGATAATTTTCATTAATAACGTATAATCCTTCACTCACTTTTTCCAAGTACCCCCGTATAACAACGATTTTCATCCATTTTGAAAAGAAACCTTGTCTCTCCTCACGCATTTCAAATCCAATGGCATAAAAATAGCATCAGAAATCTCCGCAATCTGTCCATTTCCAGAGATCCATCATTTCCCACCAATCCATCATGTTATTACGATTAAAGTTCAACAGTTAATCTCGATCCTCCTCAAGTCGCTATCTCAATCTAATCCTCAAGAACACGTTTTCGTTGATTACGTAAGGACTTTAGCACGACACGCTGATGAAAAACTCCGACGATGATTGTACGAGTGTTAATTGTCTCGAATTTTCATTGCAATGATTTTGAGCGATAAAACACCAGAGTAATCGTGAATTAAGTACAATTTGTCCTCGATTACTCGCCTCAATGCATGATTATTACGCAACATTACCCCCCCCCCCCCCCGGAG